TTTCTTCAATCGATTAACATTAAATTATTAAAATTTATTGAATAATCAGATTTATTGAATAAAATATTATTAAAAAAATTCTCAAAATTTCAAAGTAAACGCGTTTTCAAATTTTCTATTTTCAGAAACAGTTTTTCAGAATGACAAAGAGAACGCGTTTCCAACAATTCCAAAACAGAGACTAAAATCAGAAAACACAAAATGAATTCAAAACTCAAAATACAAAATTGAAACACGAAGAGAACAACCCCTAAAATTTTCCATAATGAACAAGAAAAGAGGATTAAAAAAATATTACTAACACATACACAATGGCCAATATTGCCAGTCATAGTCCATATTAGTCATAGACGACGAGTCCTCAAATTTGTTATGGCTCAGATCCAAGATCCTTGTGTACTTTATTGACAACAATGAATTTGGAACACTACTTTTTAAATTATTTTCTGATAAATCGAGTGCCGTCAAATAAGTTTCGGGCCAAAAGCATTTGGCAAATTCCCTTTTAAACGATTTTTTCTCAAATTTAACATGTTTAATCCTCCGTTTTTAAGCAAAGTAGATGGTATCTCGCCGGATAATTGATTGCTCCTTAGATCTATTGTTGATAGAACTAGCAATGAATCGAGTTTTTTTCGGATTTTGCCGGAGATTTGATTCATTGATAAATCCAAATCTACCAGCCTGGAAATATCGGAAATGGAATTCGGGATTGAGCCAGTGAGTTGGTTTCCGCTCAGTATAAAACGACTTATCATCGTCGATTTTCAAACGTTGGCGAAATTTCGCCAGAGATTTTATTGTTGCTGAGATCGAGGTGCATATGGTTTTGAGATTATTAATGGAAGAGGTTATCGAGTCGAAGATTTCATTATCGGCCGAGTTTACCGAGTTCTGACGGAATCTCGCAGGACAGTTCGTTCCCTGTGAAGTCAAGTATGTTAGAAAAATTAATCGTGAACAAATATTGGTTTAACAAATATCGGATTTACAACACATACTATATATACAACTTACCAGATATGCAACCAACATATCGTATATGCAACTTACATGACCGTATAGACAATAAATTACCGAATAATAGTCAGTATATACCGGATTAAATAATTCGCTAATCACAATAAACAAAATAATTTATATAAATCACAATAAAATAGAATAAATAATCTAAATAGCAAATAATAAAATCCAATTGAACTTTAAAAATCGAGGCCCGTGTGAACACAGTTTCCTTAAAATAGATTCGCCCCCTCACCATAGGTTCTTGAGATTTAATTTGAGCTTCTGTTTCTCAAAATACAAAATATAGGCCCTCCCAAGGAGCCAATTTTTTGTCAATGCGGTCCAACATTTGTGTATGTAGGTCGCGCCCGTACACAAGTTCAAGGTCTGAAGCCTATTTCAGTCCATGATTTGCACTCCCCCTATGCGTGCACGTGGAGGGAGCCTCTATGCTACACATGATTACACACTTCTAAAGATATATAAAGTAGTTTTTGCTTTCATAAACTTGCTATGTGGGATAAACTCAAATTTAGTATTTTCCTCCAACAAAAATCATATTGCAACGGTCCACTTTGAACTCTAATTTCTCATTCACCCGAACTTCATTTTTGACAAATAAATACATTATTTTGATGTTCTCACAGAGGAGAACACAAATCAATGTTGATCTTCCAAAATAAGCAAACATGCCTCACAAAACGTGAAACAAAGACTTGGTGATAAAGTTCAACATTGAAACCTGCACATGATAGGTCGGTTCCCTTTGAAACTTTCCTTGTGAAAGCATAGTTGATCAGTAGATGTGCTGTCTTTGAACTGTACTGCTGTTTATGTAAATGATGATATGCTCCACACAGGATTCTTCCTAACATAATTCAGTTCTCATTATCACATTTTTTTTGGTCATGAACATATGCTCGGTTCTGCTAGAGTTTTTAAGAATTGAGCCCAACACAATTCTCTTAGAAGTGGCATCACTTCTCTCTCACATATATGATTTCTTATTACAAGTAACCCATATTACTTAGCTCGATTTTCGACGTATAAGAATAATTAAAAACATGTTGCTTATCCTTCATCCTTACGGGCATCACTGTTGCGTCATAGAAATGGACATGAGGCAACATTCCCCCCACAGTGATTTAATTAAGTCTTTACAATTATGTTGTCCCTTTGAACCTAGATCTTAGGATCTCCAGTCAATTTGGTTGGGTTTCCTCTATATTAACTTATCCGTTCAAGGGTTTAATTCTCATTCCTTTCGATGATTTCCCAACTAACTCTCTATTTAACCTTTGGTTAACAGATCTACAATGGTATTATTTGACATTACATAATCAATAGTGATAACTCTAGTTGAGAGTAGTTGTCTTAAGGTATTGTGTCTACGACATATATGTCTAGACTTACCATTGTACATGTTACTCCGTGCCCTTCCAATTCATGATTGACCGTCACAATATATGCAAATTGCTGGCATAGGTTTCGGCCATCTTGGAATATCATCTAAAAAGTTGCTTAACCACTCAACCTCTTCACCACATTTATCTAAAGCTATAAACTCAGATTCCGTGGTAGATCTAGCTCTAGCTATAACTGTTTGTTTAGAGGATTTTCAGGATATAGTTCAAATACTAATATGAACACAAATCCACTTGTGGATTTTGAGTCTTTTATATCAGATNTCAACCACTCAGCCTCTTCACTACTTTTATCTAGGGTTATAAACTCAGATTCCATAGTGGATTTGGCTATCTATATTTGTTTAGAGGATTTTCAGGATATAGCTGTACCTCCTAATGTGAACACAAATCCACTAATAGATTGAAGTCTTTTATATCAGATATCCAATTTGCATCACTATATCCTTCAATGACTGATGGATATCTCGTATAGCACAGTCCAAAATTACGAGTATATCTTAAGTACCTCAGTACTCTTACTTTTCATTTCCAGTGATCAGCTCCTGAATTACCCGTGTATCTACTCAGTTTACTAACTGTGTATGCTATGTCGGTCTTGTACAACTCATCAAGTACATCATACTTCCAGTAATTCTAGAGTATTCTACTTGAAAGACAGTCTCACCTTTGTTTCTAGTTAGATGTTAACTCGTATCTATCGGTGTTCTAGCCATTCCAGTATAATCCTTTCTGAACTTTTCTAGAATTTGGTCCACATAATGTAACTGGTTTAGAACGAGTCTATCTGATATTCTGCTAATTTTAGTTCCAAGTATGACATAAGCTAAACCCATATATTTCATATCAAACATTGAATTTTACATATTTTTAGTGGATTTAATCATCTTATCGTTACTATCAACAATAAGCATGTCATCAACGTAAAGACATAAAATGACATAACCATTTTCGATGTCTTTGATGTAGATTCATTTGCCACACTCGTTAATCTTAAATCCACATTTCATCATAACATTGTCAATTTTTTTGTGCTATTGTTTTGGAGCTTGTTTCAAGTATACAATGACTTCACTAATTTATAAACTTTTTTTTCCTGTCGTGGTGATGAAAAATCCTCGGATTGTTCTATGTAGATTTCTTCATCTAACTCTCCATTCAGAAAAAGCTATTTTAACATCCATTTGATGTACTTTAAGATTTCTCAGAGCGGCAATCGCAAGTATCATCCTAATAGATGTTATTCTCATCACTTGAGAATATGTATCAAAGTAATCAAGACTTTCTCGTTGTTTGTAAACTTTTATTACTAATATAATATTATGCTTTTCGATAGTTCCATTTGCTTTTATTTTCCTTTTGAAAATCCA